ATAAATTATACAGTTGGAGTTGATTATGTATCCCCTGCTAATTTGTCTAAAGAGGGGTCTCGACGATGGGAGTAATTTATGAATAACTAGCGCTCCCCCTGCCCGGGCCCGGCTTCCCGCAGCAGCTGCCGGGGCCTCCGCAGCCGCGCGGACTCTCTTCCGGGGCCGCCCCGACGTGTGCTTGTTCAACCCGTCATTAATCGGAACAGTTACAGTTAAAGACACGGCGCCGGGCCCTTCGCCCTGTCGTTCCTGACAGCGGACTCGCTCATAAGGCGTCTGATCAGAACTTCATAGGGGAGCCCGGGCGCCCCAGAGCCAGGCTCCGATGACAAAGGTGCCTGGAGGGACGGCTGGTGGCTGGGGAGGGAGCCGTTCTGAGTTTCCCTCCAGCGGCCCAGGCCCCGGGTGGGAGGAACACGGGCGGCCCATCGGGGCTAAGCCACGGACAGACAAACGGAACTCAAGTTTTGCCAGAATCGTGCACATTCGGAGAGCTCGCGTCTCCTGAAAATTTCTGGCTGAGGAATCAGGGCCCACGGGGCTGCCTCACCCACTCCCTGCCCCGCACCGACCCTTTCTCTCTCTTCCTTTGCCGCCTGGCCCTCCAGGCACGTGACCTTGAGGACCGGGGGCTGGGACACGCGGAGAAACAAGGCCCCGAGAGAGACCGTCTCGCCAGGAGCCCCGATGGCCAGGCTCCAGTGGCCCTGGCGGGGCTGGTGTCACGGAGGATGTAGGCGGGCTGGGGGGCCGAGGGGAGGTGGCCTGCCCATGAGTGGACACTCCCCCTCCCGGACGGCGGGGGCCTGAGAGAGGAGACGGTGGGTGGCCCCGAGCTCCAGGCTCCCGGGCTCCTGAGCGGCTGGGTGAGGTGGGCCCCACCGCTGGGCTGCATGTCCACGCTGGGTCGGTGGGTCAGCAGGTGAGTCTCAACATACCTTTCTCAACCCTCAACACTCCATCTTCTTTCACTCCACAACGTTCCCTAAAATTAACTTAATAAACTTTATGAAAGTTTTAAGTCAACTTCGCACTGTGCGTGCCGCCCGCACGTGGTATTTTGTGGAAGAGCCACACTCAAAGGGCCAAAGAGCCGCATGTGGCTCGCAAGCCGCGGTTTGCCGACCACTGGTCTAGGGCCAGGGGGCGGGGGAGGAACCCACAAGGGAAGTCAGTGGTCCAAGGAGGGTCTGCACCCACCAGACCTCACACCCTCACACGGGCCACAGGGGGTGTCATACAGCAGTGAGGGCCTGTTGTTTTGTTAATCCTCACCTGAGGATATCTTTCCCATTGATTTTTAGAGAGAGTGGGAGGGAGGGAAGGAAAGAGAGAGAGAAACATTGATGTGAGAGACACATCAATTGGTTGCTTCCCGCACGGGCTGGGAATCGAACCTGCAACCCAGGTACATGGCCTTGACCAGGAATCGAATCCAGACCCTTTGGTGCAGGGGTCCTCAAACTTTTTAAACAGGGGGCCAGTTCACTGTCCCTCAGACCGTTGGAGGGCCGGACTATAGTTTAAAAAAACAACTATGAACAAATTCCTATGCACACTGCACATATCTTATTTTGAAATAAAAAAACAAAACGGGAACAAATACAATATTTATATTTGCATGTGGCCCACGGGCCGTAGTTCAAGGACCCCTGCTTTGGTGCATGGGCCGCCGCTCTAACCTGAGCAGCACTGGCCAGGCCAGCAGAGGGTCCCTGCATGTCCGAGCTGGCTAGGACACCCCGTTTGTATCAGGGGTGGAGGAACTGAGGCTCAGAGAGAGGCCACTCAGTCAGGAAGGCAGTGGCCTCCGGTTCTGGAACCTTCTCAGTGCAGCTTGTGGCTGAGCCTCGGGATGGGAGGGGACTGGCCTCCCCCCCTGCCTGGGAGCCAGGGTGCAGGGAGTGGGAGCGCTGGGGAGACGGGGTGACCACAGCAGCCCTCCGTGTGAGCACCTGTGGTGTGGGCTTGGGGTCTGTCATCACTTAATCCACACCGCGCGGCGAGCGAAAGGTAGGAGCCAGGACTTGGGCACATGTTCCCGCTCCGGCTCGCACACACAGCGCCTTGTGTCAGCCTCACCCAAAGGCCCGCGCTTTCTGGGCTTTGCTGAGAGAGAAGCGTCTTTCCCACCGGGGGGCGGGGCTCCAGGACGTGGTGTGCACAAGAGCCACTTGGGGGGTGAAAATGCAGTGCCAGGGCCCTGCTGAGGGGCGGGTCCTGGACACGGGGAGGCTCTGAGCCCGCATTTCCGAGGGGACCCTGAGGAGAGGGGGGCTGGTGTGCACACTCAGACCCTGCCGGCTCCGCTGCAGAGGCTAGCACCGTAGTAGGAGGCTCACACCAGAGGCGGGTTCCCACGCCCCTGGAAGAACATCTCTAACGAAGGGGCGTGCTGCCGGGCCCTGCTGTGTGCCTGCTTTCCTCCCACCGAGCTCTGGGTTTGTGCTTCTTTCCTCTGCAGATCCTGAACCCACCTCGCACCGACCCGACGGCGTGTGCCCAGCAGATGGCACTGCCTCGTCTGAAACACCGTTTGTGGAGGGAGCCTGCAAGCTCAAGGTGGAGGGAGATGGAGGAAAGGCCACACAGGCAGACCCTCCCTGCCCGCACCGCCTCCCCCACTGCCCTGAAGTGACTCAGAGGAAGCGTCCAGCCTCCTGGATGCACTTTAAAATCTGCCCCGTGGCCCTGACTCGTTGCCGCATTTGCTTTCAAACATCACCTGCTGCTTCCGGATCCTGGGAGCTGGTGGCTGTTTGCAGCCGGGAGCCAAGATCTATGACGTTGCCATAACCTGTTACGGCCACACGATGGCGATGCTGCGCCAGAAGGATGGGAGGCCTTTAAAAAAAAATCGGAAAAAAAGCGATCTAAAGACTTGAGTGTGACCAGAAAGTCAGGTCCTGGGAGGAGACATGGTTACACTTGCACCTCGCAAACCAGATTTCCAGTTCTAAATCCTGATGAGCAAGAGCTACAATCTTTCCACTTCTGAGAGGAACCGTGGGGACCCAGAGGCTGGGACCTCTTACAGGGAAGTCATTCTGGCCACACCCACAGCAGTGAGCGGGCAGGGCTCTATGCAGAAGAGGCTGAAAGCTGCCCGGCTGGCGTGGCTCAGTGGTGGAGCGCCGACCTATGAACCAGGAGGTCACAGTTCAATTCCAGGTCAGGCCACATGCCCAGGTACTTCTCTCTCACCATTGACGTGCCTCTCTCTCTCTCTCTCTCTCTCTCTCTCTCTCCCACCCTCCGCTATGAAATCAATAAAAATACTTTCCTTAAAGGCTGAAAGTTCCTTCTCTGACTCAGCAAATATTTGAGCACCTGCTGTGCGCCAGGCACTGATCATGGTGCTAAGAAAACGGAAGGGGCTAGGGGAGTCCCTGCGTCCGGGGCGAGAGACCCCAGCACACCCTCCGCTGAAGAGCCGGCCCCGGTGCCTCGGTCGCATTTCAGACCATCCCCCTGGCTCCCCAGCGCCAGCTGATAAACTGTCGGGAATGGTGTGAGCCAGCTCGTGAATGATATTCACTTCCAATTATTAAAGTTAAATGATATTCGCTCCCAATTAAATAAGTTCTATGGCAAAGCTCTGAATAAGCAAGTCATATTTAAACCTCATCGCTTCCTAATCGTTTTACATTTGACAGTTACCGAGGCCAGGGGCCAGCCAACTTCCATAAGGACCGGAGAGCAAGCATTTCAGGCTGTGCGGGGAGACGTCAGTGTCCGGCACAACTGCCCGGCTGTGACACTGCAGTCTTAAAGCTCGCGTGTCCTGGGAAAATGTTACTGACAAGCGGCGTGGGCTGGGGCCGGCCTGCGCCACTGCTGGCGGCGCCTGGGCCGGGCTCAGGGACTGCTGTCGCCGGCACCTGTGCGGCGGGAATGCTATGTGCTCCCGTGCGGCTCCTACTGGCTCTCCTCCCGGCCTCGCCTCCAGCGACGTCACCCTGTCACCCAGGGCTCCGCACCCCCAATCTAGTTTCCATCTCAGCGCCTACCCAAGCTTTCTGCAAACCCTCATGCAAAAGTTACGTGCGTTCATTCCAAAATGAGAAAATTACAAGATGGAGGAACTCTGGTGCACCCTTATGGCTGGTGAAGCTAATGCGTATTAGCAAGTGGAATGATGCGACCACAGGGTAGGCCTGCCTTTAGAAAACACCTGCAGGCCTGAGAAGACTCTCTCTGTCACTTCTGGACATTGTTCTATGTAATCATATGTTACCTGCACACGACAGCTCTTCTGTCCTTCTGCATGGCTAGGAAGGCATTCCAGGCAACCATGCTCGGAGCACACGCATGCCACAGCACATGCCACGGCACACACCACGGCACATGCCACAGCACAGACACCCACGAGCCACGGGCTAGTCCACAACACTCACTGTTGTCTAGACACACACCATGCGTATCGGCTACGAAAACACCATTTTCTGCTCCTTTAATCGGGAGGATAAAGCTGCTGCTACCGTGTAAATAAAACTGTCGTTACTTCAAGTGAAATCAGCTGAACGTGGTGAGGGGCAGGCTGCCCACGCGATCAGACCCGAGCGCTGGGCAGTCCGACTCGCGTGGCAGAGGCTGGGTACCTCATGCATCTCTCCAGGGCGTGTCACTGAGCCACGCCTTCGGCCAAGTTCATCTCCTATGGCCACGGATCTGTGCGGGGTGACACCTGTCACTCCAGGCCTTGCATAACCCCGTGCCCCGCGCCATGGAACAGCCTCAAGATGAGCGCAGCCGGCAGCCAGTCGCCACACTGAGGAGCGCCGATGGCTGTACACGCTAGTCCCCCATGAACGTCGCTTCAAAAATGGACGCTTTGTGACAGAACCACTCGTTTATGTCAACCCCAGAACAAACGGGACCGCCCCACCTGGGGAGGTGGCACTGTTCCGACCCCTTCAGCAGCACGGGACACTGACGGGGACGCCGACGGGAACGCCGAGGCGACGGGCCGGTCAGCCCGAAAGAAAACGCAGGCGTCAACTCAACACAACTTTAATAGCCAATGGAAAGCCGTCTCTTAACAACACCAAACATTTCTTCCTCACGGCAACCGTTAGCTACAAAGGACAGCGATTTCATATCCTTGGTCCGTAAAGAAGACACATTTATTTACATTCTCGGTGGCCGAGAAGAGGTCTGAGACGGGCACAGGTAGGATGATGTGCTTCCAAAGAGATCACGTGATCACCGCCCTGGACTTAAAGCTTCCGCTTTAATAACTTCATTTAGATCGTAAACGCCAGAGTGCACACGCTTCTCATTAGAGACTCCAGGAACACAGAGCAGCTCTTCTCTGACGGGTCCTCCCACAGCGACCCCCCTGCCGCCAGGGACGCGGGCGGAGCCCCGGGCGCACGGCAGGCCGTGCGGGGCGGCTCTGCACCTGCCGCTACTTGTACAGGCTCATGGTGGGGCTCTGGTACATGCACATGTACGCGTCGCACAGCAGCCTGCGCGCGCAGCCCTGGATGCGCCGCGAGTCCAGGGAATGCAGGTCCTCCGGCGACATCTTCAGGTACTCCCGGACCTCGGGGCACGGGGTCACCTGAGGGATGTTGAAGCCGTTCTGACCACCTGTGGACAGGAAGGGCGCGGCTCAGGGTCAAGTTCTCCACCCGCTGCTGCCCGCCCGCCCGCGCCATCTCACACCTGCAGCCCCGGGAAGGGGAACTGCCAGTTTCTGGACCGATTTCACTTCTGATTCCTACAAGTTAAAGCCTCTTTTGCTCTCAACGGTGTGATCATTTTGTTTTATTTCTGAGGGGATTCTGGGGCCAAGAGTGAAGAAAACTGGCGAGAGGACACAGCCCGAGCAAGGCCCACACCCGCCTCCCCGCGCCCTCTGTGCTCAGTGGGCGATGATGATACAGACAGACGCACAGCGCTCAGCTGCCCGACACGCACGCCCCTCGCCGTGACCCTGCGGGGGGTGGGGGGCCATCTAGTGGAATGAACACTCTCTCTCCTTCATGTAACCGCTCCTGCACCCCCATGTCCTTCCCGCAGAGCCTGGCCCGGGGCCCTCAACACCCGGTGGCCAGGCTCTCGCAGAAATGAGGAGCCTGGGCCCCGAGAAGACGAAGCTGCGAAGGAAGCCCCTCGGCTGACAGAAGCTCAGGGTCTTCCATCAGGGGAGCCCCTGCCTGGGGGGCAGCACAGCATCGCCCTTTAGCAGCAGGGCCGCGAATGCAGCCCAGGCCTCAGACCCTCACGCGCTGTCCCTGGGGCCTCCCCACACTGTCCCCAAGGACGCAGCCCCACGGGAGCTGAGAGTGAGCAGTTACCGTCCCAGTCGGCCATGCTGTCACCCGCTGTCCCTGGGGGCCTCCCCACACTGTCCCCGCAGACGGGACGCGGCCCCACGGGAGCTAAGAGTGAGCGGTTACCGTCCCGGTCGGCCATGCTGCCACCCACTGTCCCTGGGGGCCTCCCCACACTGTCCCCGCGGACGGGACGCAGCCCCACGGGAGCTGAGAGTGAGCGGTTACCGTCCCGGTCAGCCATGCTGTCGAAGAAGAGCCAGGCGGAGTCGTCCCGGCCGTACTTGACGAAGGCCACGTAGTGGCTGGTCTCGATGCAGAGCACGGCGAACAGCTCCATCTTCTGGCAGGGGACGCAGCTGTGCCTCCAGTCCCGGTCGGGCAGGTCTTTGGGCAGGGACACCGGGTTATACTTGTGGTTCTGCCTCTTGGGGTGGAGGTGGACCTACACGGAGCAGCACGAGCCAGGCTCAGGGATGCTGGTGATGGGCTCCACTCCCTCGCCCTGACTCCTCCGGGCCCGCAACCCAGTCCTCACGGGAGTCTGTCAGGTGCACGCGGGCAGGAACCGTGCCCCTGACCATGAACTTGCGGGCGTTCGTGATGAGGCGAGAACTCCTCCGAGCCCACCGCCTGCGGAGTGCGCGCGCGGCCTGGGGGGCTCACCTGGGTGTTGCAGTCCTTGCAGAACTGCTTGATGGTCCCGGCTGCGATGTCGGGGTCCTCGTAGCACTCGCGGCACTCGTACATGGCCAGCCCTCTGCAGATGCGGCACTGTCGGGGGGCTGGGGCGGGGCGGGGGAGGGGCCTTTAACATGCACTCTTTCATGAAAAAGATTAAAAACTTAAGCTCTAAAAAGGACAATGTTCATGGGCTCAAAACAGGCTCTCCCTCCCACCCCCTTAAGCTTTAAATTGGATTTCCGTGGAGTCGGGATAAGTTTAAAAAATTTCTCTGACCAAATGACAATTTTTTAAATTAATATGTTCTAGGGCGCTTCCCCCCGACTCTGAAGAGTCTATTGAAGGACTTTCAACGATGCAGGCGGCACGGGGAAAGCTGACAGCATCCCGTTTCAGTTAGCGAGAGAGGCCACTGTCAACAGCACCTGCACGTCCTCCATCCTCCCGCCTCACACGTCTACACAGCTCCTGTGTTCACAGCTCTTCTCCAAGCCTTTATATCTGCACATGTACAATGCTGTGTGTGTGTGTGTGTGTGTGTGTTCACAGCTCCTTTCTCCAAGCCTTTATATCTGCACATGTGCAATGCTGTGTGTGTGTGTGTGTGTGTGTTCACAGCTCCTTTCTCCAAGTCTTTATGTCTGCACATGTGCAATGCTGTGTATGTGTTTGTGTGTTTCACAGCTCCTTTTCCCGAGCCTTTTTATCTGCACATTTACAATGGTGTGTGTGTGTGTGTGTGTGTGTGTGTTTATAGCTCCTCTTGTACAAAATATCGACATGACCTTTTACTTAATATCACATCATCACTTTCACACTATGGGTCTTCTAACACAGGACGGATACACCGTAATTCATTTAACAGCTCGCCCCTTGGTCACATACAGATGCTTCTAACTCTTACTCAGGCACCAGTGAACCTGTGCACGTGTAAAACACGTATTGGCGTCCCTGACGATGTTCTCAGAATGCACTCTAGCCGCACACTCCCGGTCGAGCAGACACGGATGCCTGCGGACGGCCTGCACCCGCTCCCCTCCCAGCGGAGGGGACCCTGCGGACTCTCTGAGGAACCAGCAGAGCAAGCAGCGCTCCTACTCACTGTCTTCCAGCAGGTCTGTGATGTTCAGCTCCAGGGAAGGGAAGATCTTCTTAAACAGCTTAAAGTCCTTCCCAAACCGAGGCATCTGGATGATCAGGCATGACGGGGCCTGGAAAAGGTAAGTGTTTTAGAATCCAAGTGCGGGGAAACTTTCCCTGCGAGCCCGGCCTGCGTGGCTCAGTGGCTGAGGGTCGACCTGTGAACCAGGAGGTGAGGGTTTGACTCCCGGTCAGAACTTCCATATAAAACACAAGCCACGACCACTGACCTCTGCAAATTTCAGGTTGCTGTTGATAAAAGACCATTCTAGCAGCTGCTGGATTGTAGGAACTCCAACTTTCTCATTTTTTTCCATAAAAATTTGATAGAAGTAACAATCTTGTACTTTTTGACCTGCTGACCTGAAAGAAAACACGCAGAAAACCCCACAGAGTTTCCGTGTGAAATACTCACATCACAACGTGAACGGTTCCAATAGTGTCTGAGAGGAGAAAACTACGCATTTGATGGTGCAACTTCCGACAGCAGACCAACGGGGCAAAGGCAATAATTTAGATAAAATAATTAAACGTCTTTCTCCCCAGCCATCCACTATTCCAGGTCTCGGGATTCTGTTTTTATTCGATTCGTCCCTGAGTTAGTAAGTTAGTGCTGCGGAGAAGACGATGGTGGAGATTAATGTGCCTGTGGGACGGAGCCCACGGAGACCCTAACACACGACGTGACGTAACCCCTGAGGGCCTCGTCGGCAGCCGATGGCAGAGGGGACAAGGTGTCTCTTTTCCAGGGCGTCTATAAAAATGTGGACGTTACCTTATTTTTAACAATGGTTCCACCCTTAAAATATGATGAAACAAGATATTCAAGAATTCTTCGGGATCTAGGAGAAAATAAAAAATCAAATAAGTCCCTGCCAAACTTTTAAATCATTCTATTTTTTATAACAGCCATATACCTATACTGAATCCAGTTTCATAGTCAATCTAATTTCAATTAAAAGCACAGTTCTCATGTTTTCCTAACTAAAAATACAAAGGATATGATAAAATATTAAGTTCTAACTTTGTTATGATATTATTGCATTTGAAAAGGTATAATCATTCATGCATGATGACATAATTTTAATTTCTTTTGAGGGATTTAAGTGGAATGAAGCCTGAAGTACCTTGTATTTTCCTGACACTTAAATAATTACCAAGTCTCTAAGCATTACAGCTAGTTCCAACACGCTGTGAGCACGTTCAGAGTCAGGAGCTGCCTCTCGGAGGAAAGCCAGTAGCCACGAACAGACAGAACGCTGACTCTGACCGTAACGTCACCCTTTGCGGCAGGAGGCTCCGTGGGACGGTGTGGCTGAGCCGACCACCCTCCCGCGGAGAGGGATCCAAGGGGCCGCTGGATGGGAACGCTGGGGAGGAACACGCCCAGGTACCCACCGCCTGCCTACAACCCGCCCGCTGCTCACGGAGCCCCCTCTTCCTTTTGCCACTCCCTTTAGAAGAGGGACAGCATTTTAAAAGGGGGAGCAGCCTGGCCAGTGTGGCTCAGTGGTTGAGCGTCGACCTACAAACCAGGAGGTCAAGGTTCAATTCCTGGTCAGGGCACATGCTGGGTTGCGGGCTTGATCCCCAGTGTGGGGTGTACAGGAGGCAGCCAATCAACGATTCTCTCTCATCATTGGTGTTTTTATCTCCCTCTCCTCTCCCTTCCTCTCTGAAAAATAATAAAAATTAAAAGTAAAAGGGGAGAAAATTGTACACCGCATGGACGTGTCTGTTTAAAACCTCCCCCTTGCTCTGCACGGGCCGTCACGTGGAGGGCGCCAGGTCATCTCAGGGCGGGTCCTGGGAGGAAGTCAGTCACCTTTCTCTTCAGAGGTAAATCCTGACGCAGCCCCAACTTTTTCAAGTATTTTCCTCAGTTTCATAATCTTTGTGGCACACACATATCCGTATCTATGTTAGTAAAAATATGAATTAATACTGGCACACACATTCAATTCATATAGCATATTTTGATAATCACAAATTCCTTATATAACTTCAGCATGTCATAAATCAATAGGCTAGAGCAGGGGTCCTCAAACTACGGCCGGCGGGCCACATGCAAATACAAATATTGTATTTGTTCCCGTTTTGTTTTTTTACTTCAAAATAAGATATGTGCAGTGTGCATAGGAATCTGTTCATAGTTTTTTTTTAAACTATAGTCCGGCCCTCCAGCGGTCTGAGGGACAGTGAACTGGCCCCCTGTTTAAAAAGTTTGAGGACCCCTGGGCTAGACAATTATTTTGAAAAATACAATTATAGGCTTTTTTTTTCCTTTTTATTGATTTACGGGGGTGAGTTTGAAAAATTAAGAATCTGGAATGAGAATGATCCCAGACACTATTATACCCTAAAAATAACTACCACATACTAATACAAGAAAAAATACGTGGATTTTATGATGACTGGTTAATGTTATTTGCTTAAGAAATCAGAGCTAACTTTATAGAACTGAATATGTAACTTTGAGAGAAAGAGAGAGAGTCCTTTTAGTGTTAAAGCATGAGACAGCCACCAGGAGGCAGGGCAAAGGGTGGTGCTAAGACTGAAAATCTAAAATGTGCTCTCAAACCCGCCATCGTCATGTGACACTTTCGCTCGTGTCTGTCTGAGCACAGGATACATTCCACACCGTCCATCCACGACAAACGCTTACTCCAGCGGCTTCAGAAGAGACGCGAGAGGCCGCCGTGGGCTGCCCAAGGCCGCTCAGAACTGGCTGATCTTTTTTAAATTTTTTATGTTAAGTGCTAGGTGCTCACTATATGTTGGCTGCAGAGATAAAGAATGCATGAACACTCACTACCCAACCAATAAAACTC